CCAGTTTTTGAACAATCTGAGAACAAATTATTGACCAACGATCAATGAAGAACTAAAATTTATCACTAACCAGCAAGAGCGGTTTCCAGGAGGGTTTGCTGAACAGCAACCGAGACAGCAAATGACATGAGATAATCGATGGCACGCCCTAATTCCAGCAAATATTTACTCTCGTAGCGTAAAATATACTGCTCATGCGACATCCATAGATGCCTCCACTGCTGATGATAGATAAATTCACCTTCCTAAAATTCTAATACAGAAATCAAAATTTTACACAATCACTAGAACCCGTTTTCCCCGTTCCCGTAACCCGTTTTTCATCATCACATTTACGCCAGTATTCTGACATATCTTAATAGTAGGCTCGAATTTGATCAAATTGTACACACGCTTAGAACTAAAGATCGGATTTATAGTTTATTATTACACATAAGCAAAAATAGCGCTATATGTTATCCGAGAAAGAACCCAAAACTGAAAAAATACTTCAAGAAATCCCTGATCTCGTTGAAAACTGGAAAAAATCGTGAAACTAACATCTTCAATCCATCCACTAATTGCTAGCACACAATGTAAACTTCGTCCTTCGGCAAGCGGTTGAATTACGAATTCTTCTATTGCACCAACACGTTTCTGCATTTTGTAACCTACAAAAAAAATTCTACCTTCCTTTACATGACTAAAAGTTACAGGACATAGGGCAAGGCTGGTAATAACATGATAAAGTTCATCACAGAATAAGCCTGGCTTGTTTTTATCAATGAATGCCAAGCCTTAATTTTAGCGCATTTTCCGAAAATGGCTTTTGTTTCCACTCTTAAAATATGGTATTTTTAAATCTGCCAATGGGAATATTTACCCCCAGGATTCAAGTGTTTCCATGCCCTTGCAAAGATAAGAAAATTTAAAAACCTCTTACTCAGTGTGTTATGGAGCCGTTAGTGCTTACCCGTTAATCCAGCTCCGGCCACACCAAATAATGACCCAAGAACAGCAGCTCCAGCTGTTGTTGCAAGTCCCGCTGCCGCACCCGATCCAATAACTACACCAGCACCAGCTGCGACAAATGGCGCTGCTAAACCGCCAGTTACACCTGAAAAAATTACGCAAAAATATATAGAAAGTACGCAGAGAAAAAGATTTTAAACAGGATCAATACAAATGTGCACCATCAGCATGCTTCTGGGTAACCTCTGGAAGAGAATATTAAAATTAACTAAAAATGTATTATCGCGACCTTAAGGCTTAAGCTTCAGACTAGTCTTATGCCCTGGATGTGTGTGCGTGTGTATGTGTGTGTGTGCGTGTGTGTGTGTGTGTGG